TTGTCATGATTACTTTTGCTAGCATTATTGTTCATCATCATCGCCGCCATCGCCGAAACCACAACTACAACCCTTGTCACCATCACATCACCATCATTGTTGTCATCGTCATCTCTCTGTCATTATTGTTATTGTTATTACAAATATTAATATCATTATTACTCTTATTATTATTATTATTATTATTATTATTATTATTATTATTATTATTGTTGTTGTTGCTGTTATTATTGTTATTGATATTATTATTATTATTATTACCATTATTAATATTATTATTATTATTATTATTATTATTATAATCATAATCATTACCATTATCACCATCATCATTTTTACCATCATTACTGTGATTATATCATTATTATAATTTATATTGTTATTATTATTATCATCATTATCATATTCGTCACCTACCACCCGTTCTATCTGCACACGCGCGAGCAAGCCATGATACATTTGATATATATTTTCATAACATTATCTTACCTACTACATGATAAACTTGCATTATCATGATTGCCTCTTGTAGTACATCAACCGCGGACGAATAGGCCATTACTCATCCATCCATTCATCCACCACCCTGGCATATTAGCAGGGGGCGAGTAGGCTTTGTTACACTTGATATATATAACCAAATCCATAATTTAGGATATAGCAGAGTCTATCGGATGAGACGAATGAGTTCCATAGCTCTGCGTATATCGATGGACACGTGTTACTCTGGGGTACAGTGTCCAAGGCTGACCACGTATTATCCATTGCGACATATACATTTAGATTCTTCCTCAGTTAATGTTTTACCGAGTTTTTAGTACAGTTTGCATCCATGTTTCTCTCTCTCTCTCTCTCTCTCTCTCTCTTTCTCTCTCTCTCTCTCTGTTTGTCTGTCTGTCTCTCTCTGTCTCTCTCTCTCTCTCTCTCTCTCTCTCTCTCTCTCTGTTTGTCTGTCTGTCTCTCTCTGTCTCTCTCTCTCTCTCTCTCTCTCTCTCTCTCTCTCTCTCTCTCTCTCTCGACCACACCATTCCCATTATCTTGATCTTGTCTTTTAGGAACCAAAGATTAATATTCTAGCAAAAAAATCAGGCATTATTTCTGTTACAGTTTCCAGGCCTTTGAAACTTACTCAGCACAGTCAGCTCCTTCTTCCAGGAGAATCTAATAACAGATGAGATCCTATGACAAAATGTTACATCCACATTCTCCCTCTTACATGCTGAACTTGCTATGTGATCAGCCATGTTTAGGCATTTTGAGCATGAGTTTTGATCTAAAATTAATGCTGTGGGTTGACATAGTCTTCCCAAATTCACTGTGTGTCGCATTAACCCACTCATGAACCTTGTTTTACATAAACACAAACAACCTAATTTAAACTCAGACTGTTAGAACAATGAATGTAGGATTTTAGTTTAGTCCTTTATTTGCCACCCTGGCTAACTGCACAGGCGTGGGCAAGCTGTAGTACATTTAATGCATGGTCATAACATTACATAATGGTATTATCATATAACATTGTTATGGTAAGTACTTTGCCAGTTCAAGGAAGGGAAACAATTGCACAGTCCTTTAGCTACTCATCTACCACGCCGGCATATAGCTTGGGCGTGGAAAAGCATTAAAACATTTGATATGCAGTCATGTGATACTACATTCCAAATTTAGGATACAACATAATTATATCTTTTAAGACATCAGATGATATGAAGTAGTTATATAATTCTCCGTACCTCATGCTAGGTGGTCTGAAAGGCTGTAACATATGGCACTCTGAGATATAATGTACAAGTGTTCGCTTATATTCTTCATTACACAGTTTGCACATTACAAGCTGTGCTGACCTGCCAATACATTCTATATCCAAGCCTGATTCTTGCAGACACAACATCACACTGTCTTGTTCTTGTTTTATATAAACCATAGATGAATGAATCTTGCCTAAACCGGTCATAGTGCTTTATGCTATAGCTTTCGGGGCGTTGAGAATTAATAAACTCAGTCAAGTCCTTTTTGAAGGAAGCTTTAATGATGTATAAAATCCTAGAAAGAGGTAACCCAAGATCTTTATCCACACTTTGTTTGTCACATGCTGACTTTGCTAGGCGATCAGCATGATCATGTCTAGGGATTCCAACATGCGATGGGATCCACACAAAATGTATATTATGGCCTCGTTCTTTTGCACAATACATGTTTATCCTGATGTCATTTGCAATATTTCCCGCACCTTTGTCTAGAGTGTTCAGAGCCTGGAGAGCACTCTGTGAATCACAGAAAATGACCCCTGAGCCTCGATTCAATGGAAATTCGGTGGCCACGAGTAATCCTGCCAACTCAGTTTGTGTAGTGCTAGCCCAGTCATGAACCCTCCTACAATCCTGGTGCTGCAAAATGCTGTTTTTATATACAACAAAAGCGCATCCTGCTCTGCTCCCAGACTGCAAGGATCCGTCAGTGTAGCATTCATATGCATTGGGCAGAGTTTCTAGATGCTCACTTATAATTGCAAGTGCATACTGCTTAAGTATAGCAGGGGGGACACTGTCTTTTTTTGGGGCAGTCGTATGATATACACTTAGGTCAGACATTTTCCACGGTGGTACAGAACGTCCATGTAGGGTCTTAGTTATGGGTATGTTCAGCTGAGCTAAGTGTTTACATGTTACTTGTACCCATGGATTTGAAAATGAATCGGTGTTGTCATTCAAAGCTAGCTCTTCTATTCTGTGTTTTAGTTGTCTTTGGAACTCTGTACAGTGGAGGGGTTCTCTAATTGATTTGACACTAAATGTGGTATTTATGTATAATATTCTTTCATAAAGAGAAGGCAAATTAAGTTCTGTTCTCATATTCACAATTCTTTTTGTTCTAGGGGCACCAAGAATGATCCTCATGGCTTCATTTTGTACACTTTCTAAACTAGTCAACTCTGATTCCTTGAACAATACTAGGTGCAATGTAGGATCTGATTGAAGTGTGATGGGTTTTACCCGTAGAATTTATCAACACTTATTTCAGTGGGATGTATTTTTTATTGTTCTTTCGTGATTTTTATCATGATAGTGTAATCTATGTTTAATTCCTTATAGTTAATATTATTATCAGTGCCCCCAAGAGTTCGTTAGAATCAATCAAGAGCCTTATTATGATTTTACACATTCTTATAGTGATAATCATCTTTCTATCCCTCTCTCTTAGTCTCTCTCTCTCTCTCTCTCTCTCTCTCTCTCTCTCTCTCTCTCTCTCTCTCTCTCTCTCTCTCTCACTCTATCCCTCCCTCCCGCCCTACCGCCCTCCCCCCCTCTCTCTCTCTCTTTCTCTCTCTCTCTCTCTCTCTCACTCACTCTCTTATTTTAAAACATAATTATTATATACGCCTTGAAACCCGCAAAATTTGTTCCAAGTGAGTAAATTTCTGTGAGGTCTCGTGGCGCTAATCAATATATGTGCAAAAACATATTCTTACTCGTAAAATATACACATATACACGCACAAGGGTAAAATGCACACACACACACACACACACACACACACACACACACACACACACACACACTCACACACACACAAACAAACAAACACACACACACACAAACAAAAACACACACACACACACACACACACACACACACAGGCATAAATATCACACACGCACGTTGCAATTCTCGTAACTATTGTCTTCTTTCAGCGAAAAAATAAATCTTCGTTAAGAAGGATAATTTGCAAATTGCTAGAGACAGGATATACCAGGATAAATCAGAGTTAATGATAATGCAGCATTTGTTACAAGCATACATAATTACCTGTAGTACGGAATTATTAATATCTATTACTTATGGCACGGACTTGACAATGATTTAATTGATTTTAATAGTCATTGGCCTATGTCATAGAATTGATAATAATATATATTTATCAGTTCCACGAAATAAGTTATGATACACATTCATTCATGCCACAGAATAAGTAATGGGGCACAGATGTGACATGGAATGAATAATATTAGTGATGAAACCGATATAAATACATCGCATAACACCACTGGTAAGAGATGGTGAACTCTTCAATCACCCGAAGGAAGGCAACGGGAAACCACCTTCGTACACTCCCTTGTACAACCATGAAAATAAACATGGTCGCTAACGTCAGGCTCTAATACGAAAAAAACAAAAACAAAAACAAAAAAACACTCCAACCAACCTCAGGAAAGGACAAACTGGCAACCCACCCCGGACTCTGGGGAATCCGATTCGCCAAATTTGTCTTCATTCTAATCAGTCAACACTTAATCTTTGTGTTTACATATGCTTTGTTTTTTTTATTTTAAGTTATACAACAATATTTGCCTATGCTTTACACCAACGTTTATGTGTTCACTTATTTATTTATTCTTTCTTCTCAAAAGTGATTGGGTCATTCGGACTAATCCAGAATCAGGGTGAGTTGCCAGTTTTTCTTTTTTTTTCTAAGATAGACGGAGCAAACTCAGACTGCCATCGTACATTACCAATAACTTAGTCGTACATTTTCGTCAAAAAAGTCATATTTTAAATAAAAAGCTCGAATGGGTAACTAAAAATAAGTAAAACAGGACCGAGTAATAGTGATGACATACACTAATGTCAGGTCATCGGATTTTCGTATATGAGAGTAAAACAGGTATTTGCTAAACTCAATACAAACATGCAAAATGAATCAGACATTTCGGTGAATTAGACGTGTGTGTGTTTATTTGCCTTATTTTCAGCTTTAGAACTGAATTATGTATTTACTGACTAACACACTTCCATATTTAACATTTTTCATTGAAGATTTTTTTTCACCAAAGTCCACACGGATTTCATAATGGAAACATCTGCTGTAATATCTAAGAGCTGGTGACTGCCTTAGGGGAAGAATTCTCATTACGATCATTAGTAACATTTCTAATAATGTTCAATTCATGTTTATTTGATTCATCACTTTATCATCTTCTGTATTTCTTCTTCAAAGTTCCC